GGTGCGCCTCTATCGATACCTGCGATTCGTTTCGGTTTGTTTTCTGTTCCGCTGTTAGCAGGACGAAAGACAAAAAATAAATTCTTCACGTGCTGTTTCATTCCCGAGTGGCATCGCTCATCATAAGGGAGTAGATTTCTATATTTTGCAGCATGTGATCGAAAAAACTATTCCCTAATGATGACCTATGCCAGCTTTCAGAGGACATCTGATTTAAGTCATCTGCAGCACCGTATTGGTGTGTACTTAAGAAATGATTTATTCCATGCTTGCTTTGAGTTTTGCAAATAAGTTACCTCTGCATCTGATCAGCTTTGTTTTGTGGTTCCTGGTTGCGTTTCCTGCCTAGGAAAGTGAATGAATTATGCTCCGCAGAAACGCTGCTTAAGTTTAATCCAGCTCTTCGCGTTGCAGCATCTATTGCATCTACTGATTACTTGACGACGCTGTAGTGGAGGTCACATGTGCAACGTTTCTTGACTACTATAAATATGAACCATAAGCACAGCGCTAAAGTAGTTTTTCGCAGCCGCTGTCGAAGCTGCTGTTCACCGCTGTGAGGCGGCAAGTGGCAATCTGAGTATAAAATTCTGTGTCGCAGGTGGATGCCTCGAAATTTCGTTTCAGTTTGATGGTTTTCCGAATGTCGCGTGATTGCTGTTTGTGCCGTATGGCTTTTGAGACGTGCTATTCTTGTCGATAAGGTCTTTCAGCGAAGCTTGGCCGCCGGACATCCAGTCTCTGAGATAAAGAAACGACAAGAAATGTTTGAACCATTTGGGTGTCGGTTACCCTCATTCTTCCACGATGTGCACCATTGGGGCATCATACATTTCACGGAGTTCGCGTTGAGGCGCTGGTCTCGTTTTTCTTTGTGCTGTATTAAAACTATGCTGATATTTGTTAGGCAGTATTCATTGTACAGGTTGTGCATGACGATTCACTTTTCAGGAACTCAAGAAGCATAATTGTAGAGATGTGGTGCGCGTCTGTGAGCCGACTTACTTTGTTGAACCGCTTCACAAGGAAGGAATAACCGTTTTGGTACGTAGTCTATTTGTAGTGTGTTGTCTTTCGGTGTATCGGTCGTTGTCGTGCTCATTTGATTGCCTTTGCGCGAAACATGTGGCCAACATGAAGGCTGCCCTGCAGCTGACCGTTTGCTGTTGTTTCTTGTGATCGGATTTTCATACACTAAATCCATTAGCATATGTACACACAAAGATTAGACTACCCTGATGATTACTGATGGTTATATTATAATTGTCATGTATTGAACGATTAAGGTTCTTGTATTTATTGTAAAGTCAAAATTGCCATAATCCTCTGCGGGACGACACCGCATAACAGGTTCATTTAATGCCAAACCTCCAGCGTTTCAGATCGTAGTCTATCCGTCTTCAGGAAGTGAATTCAAACAAGGCAAAGTATTAGTACGGTGTAGACAGCAACTTTGATTAAGTTCTCATTAAAATCAAGCAAGGAATCATCGTGTAGTGGAAATCTTAGGCTCTATTACGCAGTTGCTGTCTGATTATACTATTTTGATGTAGCATTATCTTACGAGTAATGACGAATCAAGTACAATCTATCGATAAAGATTCTGTATGTGATAAACTGATTATGCTGTAACATCCTGTTGAAGATTTTACCATGCTGAACTAGACACCAGCATGAAAGATTCAGCTTCGTTTTAAATGATTATTGTAATAACAGGTTGTTAAAATGATTTGTTGGTTACTGTCGCAGACGGGTGATTGATATTCAGATCTTCGTTTTATTTCCTTGCCAGTCTTTCGGTATTGACATAGCACTGGCCGTCATCAAAGCTATGGAACTGAACTGATGCAAGTTGAAGGCAGCCAGCGCCGTGTCAGAATTAAAGAAGAATCAGTTAAATTCCCCAATAGACGTTGGGACGCTGTAGTTATAAATTCAGTTTTTTTACAGTGTTGTTCGGTGATTCTTTTATCACCAGTATGATCATTACTCACTGTTGATCGATAAGTATGACCTTGGCCTCGTTGGATAGCTGTTTAGGATGGTGATTCGTAATGCTGCTACTATCGAACAGCTGAACAGTTTCTTGGTAGATTATTTGAGTAATTTGTTTGTGCGTTGGTGTTCATGCTAAAAGCCACAAAATGTGTAAAAACAGTTAATTTATACACAACGCAAAATAAGTTCGTCGGCCAGGTGATTGGCCACTACCGACGTTTCGGTTTTTCTGTCACTCTCCTTCTTTGTGGTGGTTTCGGGTTGGTTTCTGCAGTTGGTTGTATTTTCCGCTGTTGTTATGGTGTCTGGAGCCGAAGGTCAGTTAAGTTACATGACGCCTTCGGCCCCGCTCCT